AAACAAATAATACAGAAATTAATCAGGCAAAAAGTTCAACATGATTTAGATGTCAGGTCATTCAAAAAGTGTTTGGCATCAAATGAGGGCACATTCATTCTCTATTCGCATATCATTTAATATATACATCTTTATTCAAAGTGATATCACCAACAATGAACAACATTGTTTCAATTTATAATAACTAAAAGGAATGACAGAAATTATATACAGGATAGGTGAAAAAATTGGGACCATAACATACCTGAACTTCCCAAGGAATAGTACAGTGTTATTTAAAATTGGGTTTAGATTATAGGCAATGAACATTGCAGACCTACATAAACTATACAAATAAAAATTTAGGAGGCACACATCCTTTACATCTTAATGACAGAAAATGAAATCCAATAAGGTGCTCAAATAAAATCAGGTGTGGGAATCTGGTGGTGTGGTTGAGAAAACACTCCGAAGACCCTCATTCTGCACTGGAATTGCTTTGTTTGTCTCATGACTCCACAACAAACTCCATCTTGCTGCTACTGCACTCCCTGGAAGCAATCAGCGAATTTCACAAGTGAGTCTTTGCGACTCCTCTCATCGACACAGACGGAGTTCCTGGCTCCTATTTTTGACCAGGCCTTGGCACAACTTTGCAAGAATTTAAGGAGTTAACTAGAAAATGACAAATCACTCTGTCTCCAAGACTTACAAATAAAATACCTGAATAATAAATATTTTTTAAAACTATGAGAAAAAAAAAAAAAACAATTTGAAGGGAAGAATTGGCATGGATGTTTGGTGCAGCTTTTCACACATAATTTTGAGGACCACAGGCTTCTCCCCAGTGATTCTAAACAGAGCAGCGTATTATGTAGAGGAATCAGTACAAGTTCCTGCTCACAGTATAAGTTAGTGGCAACTACTATTTAGCAAAGTTATCACACAGAGAATTCAGTTAATACTAGATGAAAAATATTAAGTCAAATCAACTCCTAGAGAATCACAAAATAAATAAATGTACATGAAGAAACTGTGAAACTCCAATCCTTCTACCTTACCAATGCTTTATACAGCATCAGAATTTATCATGATTTGTAACATGAGAATATTGTCCCATATGTAAAACACTTGCTATGAATCAGCATATGAGAAATAAAAAGCAAGAAAAATATTGTCATCAGTATAAAAAAAGCCAAGGCCAGCATTGTGGTATAATATGTAAAGCTATCAATTATAACACCACTATCACATATGGAATCAGCTGTTTCATTCCCAACCCAGCTCTCTGTTAATCAGCTGGGAAAATTAGTGGCAGATCATCCAAGTGCCTGAGCCCCTATAACCCACATGGAACACCTGGAGGAAACTACTGGTTCCTGGATTCAGCTTGGTCCAGCACTGGTCATTCTGGCCACTGGGGGAGTGAAGCACTGGATTGTCGCTGTCCCGCAGCAATGCACTTGGTACATGGAGCCGATAATAACACGCTAATAACACACGTGGACCCTGACTGATGGTCAAAGCTGAGGATTATTAGTGGCATCAGACTTTATACATTGAGGGTCATATGAGATAATGGAGGAAGAATTGAGCTTATCAACAAAGCCCATCAACAGTTACTATGCTTTTATTTGGAACTCCTTTTGTCTTGTATATTCCACCAAGTGTTCTCACACACATACTGCAGAGTGAGGCCACCAAGGTCTGGCTACTGGCCCCACTCCCGCCCTGGGGGCCTCAACAAATATTATCCAATCAATTGTAATCTGTGTTCGCTGACCTTGTAGGGTCACAATGTCCTCCTACACTCAATAGATGATCTTTGTCTCTTCTAATTTGCAGCTTTTACTGAAAAATAAATAAATGTATATTTTTAAGGGTTATTTACCTATTTGAATCACTTCTCGGGCTTTGGCTAAAATCAAGTGTATTTACTTATTTGAAATGCAGAGAAAAATATTCCATCTGCTGTTTCACTCCATATGTGACAGCAATTGCTGACCCATGCCAAAGCAAGGAAATTAGAGCTTCTTCTGGGTGTCCTGCCAGCGGCAGAGACTCGAGCACTTGGGACACATCAGGCTGCTTTCCCAGATTTACTAGTGAGGAGCGCAACTGTAAGAAGCAGTCAGATCTTGAACTGGCACCCATATGCAGGTAGCAGCTTGATTTGCTATGCCATCACATTAATGAAGAAATAAATTTTAGGCAATCAAACACATCAGATAGAACCAGGACTTAGTCACCTCTGCAGACGCAGGTAAGAAAGACCAAGACTGATCTGAAGCCAGGAACCTCTTCCGGGTCTCCCACACGGGTGCAGGGTCCCAAAGCTTTGGGCTGTCCTCGACTGCTTTCCCAGGCCACAAGCAGGGAGCTGGATGGGAAGTGGGGCTGCAGGGATTAGAACCAGCACCCATATGGGATCCTGGGCATGCAAGGCGAGGACCTTAACCACTTGCGCCATTGTGCAGGGCCTGAGATTTTTTATTATTATTATCAGATGTGTTATGTTTGCTTAATACCAACTTACCACCAATTACAAAACAAGTCAATTATTTCATCATCTAGTGTTACTAGAGACCACGGAGTCAAGGCTCAACCTCAATACAAAGGTGCAGGATAAAATTAGCAGACAACAAGTGTTAGCTCTTTCTGGGTTTTGTCACCTTTAAGAATTCATCTATGGACCCCACCCAGAGCTATCTCCTTAGCTTATCTAGGGTCTGGTAGGTCCAAGTTCCATAGAGTCAAGGTGACTCTTTTGTCTCAGGAAACCTGCATGTTCTTCAGAGCCTTGCACCACATATTGAGCACAACAGATACTTTTTATTAAACCAGTCAAATACATTCACAAATTTGTAAATACTCCAGGCCACAAAAATTCCACTTTAACAAAAATCCTTTGTTGGTACAAACTGCCTCTGACTGAATCCACTTGTGGGTGTAAAATGAAACTGCTGTATATCCCAACCACATTGTCCTAGGATTTACCTGGGTCTTTGCAAAGGTTTCACTCCTTAGGCAAGGCTAAGTGAACCTAGGCATCAATTATTTCTGCGTTGCCCCTTAAGTAATCAGCTTCTAATTAGTTGATACAAATATGTCAGCAAGGAATGGAAAGAAAGTATTAACACTGCCTGGGGCTAACCATATAAAACAGAGGGAACACAACAGATGCCCTCCAGCTTTAGGGCAGCATTCTATCATTGTACTGCTATCTTTCAGAGGCAATGAGAGAGTCAAGATAAGTTGGTCATGTTTGTTACAAAAGTTTTTCAAACTCAGCAAAACAAAAAGAGAAAGGTATTATCAAGAAACATGCAAATTTTCCAAGGGGAATCACAAAGTGAGAGCATTCTGATAAAGTGTCTGCACTTCAGTTAGGTAAAAGGGAGATGTCCCAAGACCTTTAAGCTTCATCTAATGTTATTTACTGTGCACAGAGATAAAGGCAGACATTTTCATCCAATGTCTCACTTTCCTCATGCCTGCAACAGGCGAGGCTGGGACCAGGCTGAAGCAACAAGACTGAAAATAAATGAGAATTTTCAAAATCTAAGCCACTATGTGCATTAACTTCACACTGCATTTGAACAAAACTGGAACCTATACATTCTGATAAAGCCGTGTGAGTCCCAAATTTCATCTTAAGCACTGTCACACTCAGAGCAATGATAGCTTACTGTGTGTGTCAGGTGGGCAGCCACTGCTTTTCTCTTATGCCTAGTGGTCACAGAAAACAGTCCTTTTCCAGAGCTTGTTGGGAGCCATGTACTATAGCCATACTGAAGCCATTTTGAATATAGATCTAGGTCAGTGGAAAATACCAGTTAGCAAATGCAAGAGGAACCAAGTCTTAAGACACCCTGCAGTTTCCAGATTACCTAGCAACCCACCCTGCTCTGACTACCCTTGGTGCTCATAACAAGATGCTGGCTTATGCCCTACCAGCCAGCATCCTCTTGTGAGCATAAGGGGGTTTTAGAAATACCTGCCAGCATTCTCTTGCAAGCATAAGGGAGTTTTAGAAATGGCAACTCAGAAAGAGCTGTGAAAGCCCCCGGACCCTACTTCCTCTTCTCCTCACCCATAGGTCCTGTTTTGCAGAGTACAAAGGCTTGTGTGTGAAAAATAAAATTTGGTCAGATTGATCAGACATACTGTCCTGCTGTCCATTTCTTGTGTCTCTTGTCCCCCATTCTCTCCTAGGTTGGCTGCAACCCCTGTTGACTGTCCTGCTGGACGGGACAATAGCTAATGGTTATTTTGTGGGGGAAAAACAAAGATAAATGACTAAAGTTGAATGAAATGTATCTTGGGGAAACAGTGGATTGTGTTGTGATTTTTCAGGGCAGAAGTCAGCTCTTGGCATTATGAGCAGTTCTGGACATTTAGGGATTTGTTACCTGCCTCAATGCTCTCTGCAGAACCTGACTTATCCCCCTCCAAAATTCATGGGACGTTCATTCCCAATTACGAGAACTTAAGCAGTGGGGACAGGTGGCACCATATCAAAAGCCATCAGGATAAATCGAGCCAGGCAGCTTGTACCTGAATGGCTTATTCCTCGGTTCTTCCATAGAAACCCCTTTGGGGTAGTCCCTGCTGCACCCCGTTATTTGTCTGCAAGGTCTCTGTGCCACTCCAGGCTTCTGCCAACCCGATGCTGCCCCTCAACCCTGGAGCAAAGCTGTGAGGTAAACTGCTGGGGTCTGTGCTGATCTGACATTGGGACAAGGTGACTGTGAGCCCCTTAGGAGGAGCTACACTGAGGACTTAGCTGTGGGCTCCACAGGCTGTTTTGCAACAAAATTAGGACCAATTTTTAAAAAAGAAAATCCGGCCCAACATGAAGTTGGAACTGTCCCTGGACACTCTCCCCTCCCCTCCGCACGATTTGGAAAAATGTGAGTCCTGAAGGTTCAAGGTCAATAATGGAGAGTGAGGCCACCAAGGTCTGGCTACTGGCCCCCCTCCCGCCCTGGGGGCCTGAGGAGACGCTCTCACACACTCACCACTTCCCAGCAGCTAAGGAGTCGGGCATCCTTCCCAGGGCGCCTGAGCTGGAGGACGGTCACGGGCAGCAGGAGCTGCAGAGCCTGGAGCCTCTCACCGGCAGAGCAGGTATGGGGCGGGACGGCTGCACTGTCCCGGGCTTCTCTCTGCCCGGGACCTCTCAGAGCAGAGCAGGTCTCGGGGCGGCAGCGCTGCACTGTCCCCGGCTTGTCCACAGCAGAGCAGGATTCGGGGCGGGACGGCTGCACTGTCCCGGGCTTCTCTCTGCCCGGGACCTCTCAGCAGCAGAGCAGGTCACGGGCAGCAAGGGCTGCGGAGCCTGGAACCTCTCACGAGCAGAGCAGGTCACGGGCAGCAAGGGCTGCGGAGCCTGGAGCCTCTCACGAGCAGAGCAGTTCTCGGGCCTCTCGCGAGGAGAGAACGGTCACGGGCAGCAGGGGCTGCACTGTCCCGGGCTTCTCTCTGCCCGGAGCCTCTCACTAGGCGAGCAGGTCACGGGCCGCGGTTGCACGGTGCTGGGCTTCTCCCACAACAGAACCAGGAAGTTGGCACCAGGAAACAAGCAGTGTGCTTCTGCAAGGCTTCCTGGGCGCGTGTGATTGGACCGTTCGCAGACCGCCAGAGGAGGCGCAGCCAATCAGAATCACAAGGGTGTGAGGGCGGGAGGGGGAGTGAGATTTGCCTCAGCGCTGAAGCTTGAGCCTCCCTGCCGCAGGGGGCGCTGTCGGCTCAGAGAAGTCCGTCTGCTGGCGGCTCTCCTGCCCTGTCTGTCCCCGAACTCCGAAAAGTGTGCCAACCTTCACTGAGCCTGCAGCAGATTCTTTCTCCTTTGTATCGGCCCTTTCCCGTTAGGTCGTTTGACATTTTTTTTTTTTTTGCGGGAAATGCCTGCTAGATATTTGAAATAAAGATGTTCAAATGCAGAGCTCCTGCGTTAGGCACTGCAGGTCCTGGCTAGAGCCCTGCGCCCAGAGCCCCAATAAGACGCTGCGGCGCCGGGGAGGCCTGGGAGACGCGAGGCCCCAGAGCTGCTGCCTGGGAGACAGGAGGATGCAGTGCTGCTGCCTGGGAGACCTGAGGCCCCAGTGCTGCTGCCTGGGAGACCCGAGGCCCCAGTGCTGCTGCCTGGGAGACATGAGGCCCCAGTGCTGCTGCCTGGGAGACACGAGGCCCCAGTGCTGCTGCCTGGGAGACATGATGCCAAGAGCCCCAGGAAGACGCTGTGGCGCCGAGGCGGCCTGGGACACCTGAGGCCCCAATGCTGCTGCCTGGGAGACCCGAGGCCCCAGTGCTGCTGCCTGGGAGACATGAGGCCCCAGTGCTCCCAGGGCCGCTCAGGGTCACGGTCAGAATGGACAGTGCTGGCGCGGACAGGCCAGCGACCACAGGCGGGTGGATTTCCTGTCTCGCTTTGCTGCGGGAAATGCACAGCAAGGGCAGACCCGACAAGCAGGGGTGCACCTGCGCGGGGCGGGTGGGTCTGGAGGGCAGGCGGCACCGGGTGATGCTAGGCAGGTGCTGCGGGAGATGCGGAGAGAGTGGGGAGAGTGGAAGGGAGAGCCTGGGAGAAGGGCAGGGACAGGGAGAGAGAAGCGGCCAAGGCGGGGAGAGGGAGGGGAGAGTCGGCCAGGGCGGGGAGGCGGCCCCTGCCTGGCCCTCGGGGATCTCCCCGCCTGGGAGAGGCGGTGGTTCCGCCCTCGGCCCGTGCTAGGCTGCTTCACTTCACCGCCCGCCTCCGGCCGCCCCTGCAGCTGCACTCATCACGTCTCTTCCTCTTCCCTCGAGTCCCGTCTCTGCCCTCCACAGGCTGCTGCCCACTGCCGGGTGAGGACAGCCTCGGGTTCCTCAGGACTCGGGAGCCCAGGCGGGGGTGGAGCCCTGCTGGCCTCAGGGTCCGGCACCTTCATCCGGGCATTCGCCCAGTGCCACCGCCATCTTCGGGCTGGCGGAGGGAGGGCTGAGATGACGGCCCCAGGAGGATGCAGGTTGCTGATGGCCTGGCGGAGGGAAGGGCCGAGATGGCGGCCCCAGGAGGCTGCAGGCGCTCTCCCGGCTGCTGAGGGCGGCTTCATCCACCACACTGTGGCGCCAGCCTCTGTGCTGCCTGGCTGGCTTTGTAAAATGCAGAACTGAAAAGCATTTGAAAATACAGTGTATACATTAATCTTTTCAATCTCATTTATCTTACTAGTGTTAATTTCCTGATCTGTATTTTTTTTTAAAGATTTATTTTTATTATTATGTTTTAATTGGAAAGGCGGATATACAGAGAGGAGAGACAGAGACGAAGATCTTCCGTCCGATGATTCACTCCCCAAGTGAGCGCAACGGGCCGATACTATGCCAATCCGAAGCCAGGAGCCTCTTCTGGGTCTCCCACGCAGGTGCAGGTTCCCAAAGCTTTGGGCCGTCCTTCACTGCTCTCCCTGGCCACAGGCAGGGAGCTGGAAGGGAAGTGGGGCTGCCGGGATTAGAACCGGCTCCCATATGGGATCCCGGGCGTGCAAGGCGAGGACCTTAACCACTTGTGCCACCGCGCTGGGCCCCTGATCTGTATTTTAATGTTCCATATCTGTTTCGTATTAGTACATAGTAACTTGCTTAAGTATCTATCTCATCGTTTTTGGTTTTGGTTTCTGTTGGAATACCTCCATACATAAAAGGATTATTAATATAAATTTATAGTTCTTAAAACTTGACCACTATGCATGTAATTTCCTGACTGTTTAATTTCCTGTGTGAGACTGAGGAACTAAAATAAGAGCTAAGTAGTACTGAAGTGTGCTGATACATGAATTAAGAAAATAGTGTGCTAAGCAATAGATAAATAGTACTAGAATGATATTAACAAGGAACAGTATTGCGGAGTAGTATTAAGAAATAGTTAAATGAATGTCTGGCGATAAAGAAAATCAACTTAGCGGCAAAAATATGCACATATTAGAAGAAAACATTAGGGATAGCATTAAATGGGTAACTAGGAATAAGGTGATTTAAGCACACATGTAAATGTTAAGAGATAGCAATTAGTAGCGAGTTGGATAAGTAATGGTAATTAGAATATAGGAGAAGTGATATTAAAGTGATGCTGATTGATCAATTGCTAAGCTAACCACTAATTCTGGCTGCGGTAATGAGAGCTTGCTTCGCTTGCTGTAAGGAGAACCAAGCTAAAGCCATGACAGGCCTCTGGCAGGCCTCCGAAAGGCTAAGCCTAAGTTTCCGTCCCTAGAATTGAGGCAGCCGATTCCCCAACGTGGGCCACCACACACCCTAAACAGAGCCAACGAATCAGAGGAGACTTGAAAGGTCCCAAGTCATCAGGTGGTCATGGTGATAGTCTGAGAGCTGGGTGGGCACGGATAAGAAAGACTGACCAACAGAGTGGTCACGAGTGATACAAACTGACCAATTACAAACTTGCCAATGTTTGTTTGTAGAATCAATGGCCCATTCCTAGAATTGCAGCCCAAATCCTGTATGAATTATGTGAAGTATATGGGCGGGGTCCTTGTCAAGACTCCACTGTGTTGGATGAGTCTTGAACCTTAGCGCTCTAGCAATAGTTCCTTTGCCTTTGCATTATCTCGTGTAGAACTCTTCTGTTCAAGGCGGTGGGATAAATCCATCCCAACACCTGATCATGCATTCACAATAAGAGACAAAGTGAGAAGACATCTTGTCTAGGGTTATATATTGGCAATACTGGTCATTACAGATGCATGGTATCCTATCTTAATTATAAGGAAATGAGTATTTTCTGTTCTGCTAATAGTTTCATTCATTATAAGCTTAATTTTCCTAAAACCTTTTTAACACTTAATGGTCTGTAGTGAGGTAGGCAGCTAATTCAGAGTCACAAACTTGGAAGCCCCCATCACCACCTAGGTGTTCCCTTCTGCCCAGCTGTGATGCTCAGCTCTCACCACCTGGAACCTGAGAGGGAGCAGTATTGCATGGTTGTATAACCACGCCCCTCACGAGTCCCTATAAAGGCTCATTGTAGGAGGACATTGTGAGTCTGGAAGGCCAGCGAGCACGGGTTTACAGTTCATTGGGCAGTATTTGCATGAAAACGACCAAATGGCTATCTCTTGCATACCTGTTGGGAGATAGTTCCCACAGGTTGAGTAAACAGCATGTAAATGAGAACACCTAGTGTGATGTAAAGACTAAAGGAATTCTAATCTAGAGTGTGATAACAGTTGATGGTTTTGTTTACGAGCTCGATACTTCCTCCCCTACCCAATACGAACTTTCAGAGTATAAAGTCTGATGCCCCTAATAAACTTCGGCTTTGACCATCAGTCAGGGTCCACGCGTGTTATTATCGGCTCCGTGCACCAAGTCCGTCGCTGCGGGACAGCGACAAGTGGCGCCTGAACAGGGACTTGAAAGAAGAAGAGAAAGTGCAGCGGAGACCCCCACAGAAAGTGGTGAGTGGGACAATGGGCCAGAAGCAGGGTAGAGCACAGTCATTTATCTCTCTTATGCAGAATTTTTTAGTGAAAAGTGGAGCAAAGGTAACTAGGCAGCAATTGCGTTCTTATTTAGAGCTTATTGGTGAATATAATCGTTGGTCTCCAGATGAATGGACACTAGAAACTGGACTTAAGAATTTTACTCAGAAAAATGGTGAAAAGGCCGGAAGGATAGAAGATAATCAAGTTAGTTTTTGGATTATATCAGCTTTAATTAGAGCTGTTATTATAATTTTAGAAGGGGAATGTGCAAGAAACTCTTCTAAGAGGAGACACTCCCAAAATGTAGCTAAAAAAGAAGTGTTTCATAATATGGACAAGGAAGAAAGAGAAAGAGGACTCTTAAGAGGTCCACCTAACAGGAAAGGCTATCGTAATATTTCTAAAAAAGAAGCGCCTCATAGTACAGATGAGGAGGATGGCAAAGAGCAGCCTGTGAGAGACTTTCCTAACGGGAGACGCCACCGTAATGTGGCTAGGAAAGAAATGGCTTATAATACAGATGAAGAAAATGAAAAAGAATGCGTTAGAGACCCTCCTGTGAGGATATGCCACTGTAATGCAGCTAAAAGAGAAAGGCCTTATGCTGCAGATGTGGAAATTAGGAAAAGAAAACTCAGGAGAGATT